TATTCCCACTGCCTATGACTCAGTTCTGGCGTTATAGCCCATTTCCAGGCTTTCACAACTATTATTTTTGGCAGCTAATATTGCCCAAAGCTACCATCTTTCCTTAAACTTATCCAGATCAGGCATTAGTAATAAACCCCCTGGAACAAATAAAGCTAGATATGTAGGAATCAAAGATTCTAAGTCAACTAAGTCTTCTGCTAGCTTCAAACTAGAACGCTTACAGTTTAAGCAGTCCCAAAGCAAGAGCTGTATTTTGTATAGGCAATCACATAAAGCGTCTTTGACTTTTTACTTCTAATGTGCAGGTGGCGTCTTGAAACATACTGTCTCTTGCTCTGATAGATTTCTTGACGTATTGCAACAGTTAGGAAAAAAATCATGAGCGAAAATAAAGAGGAATAATCTTTTCAAGATGCTTACCAGCCTGCTTTAATTGTTAGGTGATATGTTCTTTCTGGCTACTCATACTGCTGAGTCCAGCATACCTACTTTTTCTTTTTTTTTTAAATGGTATGTATGAAATCTGGTTTGGGTTTTTTCAAGTTTCTTTCTGCCTTTATTTTCAATCTTTATTTTCAGTCTGTCCATATTACTTTCCTCTAGCCTTACTGATAGTTTTACATTTTTCATATTGTAGTGTCACTTATGAAATTCCTATATTGTGCTCTTTAACTTCTTAGTCCAGCTCATTAATTGCAGTGGGAATAGAATTCATCACCTTGCTTAGCCTCTTTTAAAATGCCCACTACGTGCCATTGTGATCAAATTTTGTAAGTTTCTCATTAGAGAGACTTGCATATTAAAAATAAAAGTTTTGGTGTGACATGTAATCTAAAAGAAATAAATAACCTAAATAATAGGATAGCCTCAAGAGACTTTTGTTGCACACGTGTTACCCAGCAACATTGACAAGAAAAGATAACTTAGGTGTTGATAGGCAATAGGAAGCACAAGACCAAACCAAGTATTCAAATATATTGAATCAGATTCCTAAAAAATCGCAAGGTATTTTAAGTACTGAGATTTAAAAATATGCGGAAATAAATACTGCTGTATGTAGAATCATAGAATCACAGAATGGTTTAGGTTGGAAGGGACCTTAAAGATTATCTAGTTCCAACTCCCCTGCCGCACCTTCCACTAGACCAGGTTGCTCAAAGCCCCATCCAGCCTGGCCTTGAACACCTCCAGGAATAGGGCCCCTACAACTTCCCTGGGCAATTTGTTCCAGTGCCTCATTACCCTCAAAATGAAAAATTTCTTCCTAATATCTAATCTAAATCTCTCTTCCAGTTTGAAGCCATTACCCCTTGTCCTATCTCTACATGTCCCTCTCCAGCTTTCTTGTGCGCACCCTTCAGGTACTGGAAAGCTGCTATAAGGTCTCCCTGGAGTTTTCTCCAGACTGAACAACCCCGACTCTCTAAGCCTGTCTTCACAGGAGAGGTGCTCCAGCCCTCTGATCGTCTTTGTGGCCCTCCCCTGGACCAGCTCCGACAGGTCCACGTCTTTCCTGTCTTGGGGGCTCCAGAGCTGGATGCAGTACTCCAGTTGGGGTCTCATGAGTGCAGAGTAGAGGGACAGAATCACCTCTCTCAACCTGCTGGCCATGCATCTTTTGATGCAGCCTAGGATGCAGTTGGCTTTCTGGGCTGTAAGTGCACATTGCCGGCTCGTGTTGAGTTTCTCATCAACCAACACCCCTGAGTCCTTCTCCTCAGGGCTGCTCTTGATCCATTCTAGGCCTAGCCTGTGTTTGTGCATGGGATTGCCCCGACCCGCATGCAGGACCTTGAACTTGTCCTTGTTGAACTTCATGAGGTTTGCACAGGCCCACCTCTCCAGCCTGTCCAGGTCCCTCTGGGTGGCATCCCTTCCCTCCAGCATGTCGACTGCTCCACACAGGTTGGTGTAATCGGCAAATTTGCTGAGGGTGCACTCCATCCCAACATCCATGTCACCAACAAAGATGTTAAATAGCACCAGTACCGACCCCTGAGGAACACCACTTGTCACTGGTTGCAGCTTGAACGTGGAGCCATTGACTGCAACTCTTTGAGTGCTAGCTGTCCAGGCAGTTGCTTATCCACCAAGTGCTCCATCTGTCAAATCCATGTCTCTCCAATTTAGAGACCAGGATGTCATGTGGAACGGTGTCAAATGCTTTGCACAAGTCCAGGGAGATGACATTGGTTGCGCTCCCCTTATTCACCAATGCTGTAACACCGTTGTAGAAGGCCACCAAATCTGTCAGGCACAATTTGCCCTTAGTGAAGCCATGTTGGCTGCTACCAATCACCTCCTTATTTTCTATGTGCCTTAGCAGAGTTTCAAGGAGGATCTTTTCCATGATCTTGCCGGGCACAGAGGTGAGACTGACTGGCCTGTAGTCCGCTGAGTCTTCTTTTTTACCCTTTTTGAAAATAGGGGTTATGTTTCCCCTTTTCCAGTCAGTGGGAACTTCACTGGACTGCCATGACTTCTCAAATATGATGGGTAGTGGCTTGGCAACTTCATCCACCAGTTCCCTCAGGACCTGTGGATGAATTTCATCAGAAGTACCTGTGCAACCATGAAAGGCTGCAAGCTTTTGTCAGAAATTATACAGATCCTTTTGTAATTGTATAATTCCAAGACTTTATGCTGTAGGAAATACACCAAGTATTGCAATATTTTAAATAAAATCAAATGTTTACCACCAATGGAGACTAGAGGTTTAGAAAAGAAGCATGTGAGTGTGAATGACTCCACAATGTAATATGAAAGACAGCGGATGATGGAAGTTGCTGTTTACGTGTTCGTCGTTAACATAGGGGAATTCCTTGGATATATCCTTAATTGAAGAGTAGGAACATTGCTGTGGTATTGCAATTTTGAGTGTTTGTCTGCAGGCATTAAAGGTTAAAATAATTCAACACTGAGAAGTTTTGAAGACGTAAAACTCTGTAATGACACTAAGAGCAAAAAAAGTAAATATCGTGTGACTTTGAAATATGGCTTCAAACACCATAATATAATATTTTGTATTGCTACTGTTGTGCACAGCACCATTGTAGACTTAGCAACACAGAACCAAGAAGGATGTTTTCTGGGTCATCAAGCCCAGCTTGCTCTTACCGGGGCAATGCTTGTTACTGTCTCCGTCTTATTAACAAATCAAGCTGTCCTTGAACCTCCCTGTCTTTTTCTGTTTGGGTTTCTAGCCTTACACTTTATTCAATAGAGCAAGTCAGTTTTGACCCATAGTTTCTACAGACCTTTTCCTCTATTAAGTGTTTCTCTCCTGAGGTGTCTGAGTAGAGCAATCGTGTTGCTTTTATCTTCCTTTTTTTTGGTCCTCAACTCTGCACAGATGGCAGTGTGAGTTAATACAGCTTTAACAAGAATTGGAAATGTGTGCCATATTCCAGATGAGGCCCCACCGGTGTCCTATACAAGTCAATTAATATTTTTCCCTCGCTTTGGGAAATATCTCACCTGATGTCTCTCAGGATGGCATTTGCTTTTTCCAGGCATCATCAATACTGCCTCATAATTTTCCAGCTGACATTTGCATATCTTCACCATTTCCAACTGAATATGCAGTTTATAAACAATTTTTTTTTCCCTCCATCCTGACCTAAAAAAATTTTAGTGACTGTGCTTGCTTTTTTTTAGTCTTCAGGTATCATTGTGACTTGACAGATGTAGTAAAAATCTGTTTCGAGTGGTTCCATGTGTTAATTTTTCCAGAATTCTTTGGTGATTATTTACATTCCCTTGCCCTCCCCAGCTTGAACCACTGAGCTCCCTGAATTTTCCTTCTTAATCTTCATTCCTGTTAATTAATCAGCCTAATGTCATCTGCACATACATCTTACTTTTTTCCTGGTTATCTATATATGTACATATAAGTAAGAATGTGGTAGAATGCAAGTAAATCTAGGAAAAGCTCTATACCTATTCTTCGTTGTTACTCAGTAAGGACTATGATACACAGGCACAGAGGGATGAAAAAGATAATAGCACATACACGTGCATTTTTTTACTATTTCTTTATGTCAACTTGACTGTTAGTATTTCTTGAACGTGTACATGTGCCATAACTGTGGATTTCTGTATCTCAATTCTAAAATGTTCATATCTTACTGAGTTTGCATTTGTTTTAAATTCATATTCTTGTTCACTTTCATGCTATTACCCCCAAAAAAGGAGGCCTAATACACACTCCTTTAAAATCTATGCTTTTATTAAAAAATTGTTTTTTATTGTCTTTAGAAATGTATCTGATAACGTTCTCTCCAGTTCAGTGATGCATCCAGGAATAATCCAAGTGGGTTATTTACAGATTTAAAATTAGGGATGTGATTAAACAGAAGCTGTTATATATTGATTGGGTTTGGGTTCTCAAAATCACACAGTTGTCTAAATAGCATATTCCATGAAAGAGAAGATCATGTGATTACAAGTACTTCATGATTTGTCCCAGGATTTTTATTTGTTAGCCCACCACAAGGCATTGTGTTGGCCATCATCATTTTTACTCTGCCTCTTTGATCATTTTAATATGGCAATAAATGAGTAATTAATAAACTGACATTTTTTTAGGTAATAAAATTAAAAGAGAGAGTTCAAGCGGAAAAAAAAAAAGTAATGATGATTAGAATGTCCTTGATACCATGATGTGATGACATCTGATGGATTTTTTTGGCTGCATAATACAAATAATGATTAGTTGAATTGTCTTTGTTTATCTTGGGTACTGTGGAACAACTAGCTGTTTCTGTACCTAGTAAGAGAAAGTTTGAAGTGTTTGTTACACTGCAACAACATTCTAAAAACATTTTAAGTCAAGTCATGACAGCGCAGAACCTGAGTAACGGTTACAGTTCTGGTTTTCTATATGACAGCTTAATTTTATTTAGTTTAGTTAGTTCTGCACTTTTAGCATGTACAGTAAATCCCATTATGTCTGCAATCAAGCATAAAGTAATTATGCCTTCTCCCTTTTATCACAGATTCCTTGCAGCTTGGAGTACTGGGATGAGCTTCAGAAATCATTTGTTGCATTCCGGGAATTCAGTCTGTCAGAAAGCAAAGTCTGTGAACTACAGCTGCCCAGTATCAACCTTGTGAATGATCAGAAAGAGCTCATAGCCTCTGATCTGTGGAGGATTGTCCTGAACAGCAGTCAGAATGTGGCGGATGACCAAAGGTAATTTTAAAGGAGGATGGAAAAGCAGAAATCTAATGCTACACTCTTGAGAGATCTTTTTCAAGAGACTTAGGAAATACGTTACTGTTTTCATATGTCGTAAGAGTCTCTGGTCTTAAATGAGCTTCACAATGTAGTTCACGTTCACACAAGGACCTGGAGTGTGCACAAAAAGAGCTCTCTCTTAGTTTTATGGGCAGCCTGGCAGCATCATATTCATCAATTTTCTGAACACAAGTATTACTGAAAAGTGAAGACAAATAGGCCATATCCTGAAACCTCTTAGCTGCACAAGGCAGTAAAATTAGCTAATTAACAAAAGAAGGCTGAGGCGCAATCCATTGTATAACATCCTAGTAAACATTCTTCTTCCATGCACCCCCCGTACATCGCCTTTATTCTGTCCTCAGTGCAAATCAATGACTAGAATAAGCCAAGTGTCTATTTTAAATATATTAAATAAAACTTCAGTACTTCAAGAGCATTACATTATTATTCACACAGCTTGCTTACTATGCTAACAGTAAAAAAAAAATTAATCGGCATTTTCAAACACTGGGGATACATTTTTTCATTATGTTTACAGCTGGAAACAATGTATAATGACAGATACTCACTCTATTTGCATTCATTTGGTTTTGGTTAATATGTAGAGTAAGAAGAAATGAGTACAAATTCTCTCCACAAACAGCAGTGGAGTTGCTTTCAAAGACTTTCTTAATATTTTATAGTGAGCGCAGAAAACCCAGAATGACCCTGTTGGATCATGGGTATTTGCTGATTGTTGCTGCCTTTGTATGAACACATGCTTGAATGAGTGCGTAGCATGCACATATATGTTATGTGAAGCTACAGAATTCAGAGAAATCAGGAAATACAAACATGGCTAACAAAATCAATGAAGAAAATTAAACATCTGGTTTCCATTAATAGTACCAGGTTGGAAATGATTTCTTGATGTTAATTGTGAAAGAATGCATTTTCATCATTGAGAAGTTAAGTGTTTTAGACAAGGTTAATTCCTCTGAATGTGGGACCTTGGCAAAATTGCCTTCCTGGTCAGCTTAACACCACAGAAATGTGAACTCGGTGGGAACTGAAAATGAAGTAGTGAAATTTAGTAGATTTTTTTCATCAAGGCATTTGGCACTGTAATCTTGTTTATTGTTTTCTGTTCAAATAGGGTTCATCTCTATATGCAATGTTTCATTCAGGGAGCTCCAGTAAGCTAATGAGTAGTAATTGTTCCGAAAGAGGCTAGGGTTAAAATGAAATACAAATAATTAAAAAAAAAAAAAAAATAAAACCAGTTTGAACTGTGTTTAACATCAGAAACATTTTACAGCATAATATGAATTCACCTGCCTAAAAGGTCTAAACTCGTACGTTTTCACCTGGGAGGCTGCAGCCTGCTCCACGATAGTGAGCATCCTCAGTGGTATTAGTGTATCAAGTTATAAAGGGGTAGAAATATCCTAATGGCCTTGAGGTACCCAAAGACTCCAAGGAGGACAACTGCTCTGTCCATAGCAATGATATTAGAAGCACTATGTCCTCCAGATTGTGTGTATACACATAAAGCTAAAACAGAAACTACAACTGAAAGGACAGGAATTAAACTGAAGCATTGGTAGTTCACTGAATAGGGATAGCAGGAAAGGAAAGAAGGCAGCAAAAACCACGCACCACACTAGCAAAGCATTTGAAGGTCAATAAACAGAAGAGAAAGAGACAAGCCAAGGGAAGGTGTTATGAAGTGCCAACTCCTTAGGCGCGTGCATGGAGACTGCAGAGTCACTAGTCCCCATACTTTGGTGGCCTGAGGAATTCATAATGGTTTTAAGAGGTGTAGTTTACACCTACGTGAACAGTAGACTGGAAAGTTAAAGATTCACGTAGGTCAGAGTGAACTCCATCCAGAAGCCTGAGGGACACGTGAGGAAAACCTCTGATTTCAATCAGAGAAAAGATTATATTCCCTGCCTCAGCCACAGTTTCAGATAAAAATTCAAACTGATCTCTCTTTATACTAGCTTCAAACAAGCCTGTACTGCAACCTTTTTTAAGGATGACTGCAGGAAGGACTGGTGTGGAAGTAGTCCTGACCATCCTGGAGTGATTGTTCCCAGAGAAACTTAAGGGGTCAGAAAAAGAGCAGCTGTTCCTCAGAGATGAGACTTTGACCTATGGTGTTTGAGGCACACTGGCTTTTTCTTGGAGACACAGCAAATCACACCAGTCGCATGTTACTGACCTGGAGGTTTTGAGACAGTTCACAAGCACTCAAATACATATAGTTACAGCTACAGAACAAGTTTAAGGTAACAGTTAAGCTCTAAAGGATCACATTCTGTTAAAGGGAAGCCTGGTTTAGGAGGTGGGTGACGGATACTGTGGACCTGCAGAGAAGGTCAACCTTTCTAGACCCCCAGTAGCAGAGGAAGTCCATATTGGCAGTAACTTTGCTGAAACTGTGGCTCTGTCTTCATCAAACAAACATATTGCTACCAATATGGGTATTTTCTTGTGATCAAGTACCCTAAAATGTATTCTGGATTCTACTTGACAAAAAAATCCCAAACTTCTTTGGTTTTGAGAGAGAGACTGCCATATGTCACGGTAAATTTCAATGTTAGATTTGTTCATAAAGCAAGTGTTTAATATGAGATTTTAGACTTGTGAGAAGAGCCACAAGGATCTGTGCTTAAAGCCAGTGCCGAGTGTTAGAGGGGGAAACTTCACAGCTGAAGGTATCTGCAAATGAGAGTGAGAAGTGAAGACAGTATAAAAGTTGAATCTTGGTTTTCCTGGAGACTCATTGTGATTCGACATAAGGCATTGACATGCTGTAACTGTATGATTGATTAGCAAATTTAATTCACTATTAATTGTAAAGTATAAAAATGCTTAGTCTTGTTGAAGTTTATTTTCTTAGTTTGATCTTGTATTTTGTGTCAGACTAACAGCTGCCATATGCGTGCAGCTGCTGCTCAATGATAATATTTTTTCCTTCAAATTCTGCAGGGGTTTTTTTGTGGTAACCTCTATGATATGCTAACTATTAATACCAGAGAGCTGATCCCATAAGTACTTTATTACTGATTCCTAGTATCAGTTATAAAGTATAAAGTATAATACTTCATATTATAAAGTATAATATAAAGTATTATGCGGCTCATGTGAAAGGAAAGCAAAAACATTTGTGAGATGATGTGTGATACGTTGAGCAGTAGCTGGCAGGCTGAAGTGTATCAACCAATAATGAATATGGGAATATGCAAAGATGTCATGATGCAAATCCTGTGATATGCCAGCTCGTTCTGAGATTGATCAGGAAGTAATTAGAAGTGTAAAAATCAAGGGGCTATATGGTTAAGGACATAGTATATATGTGTACAATGTTGTTTATTTTAAAGAATTTTGTAGACCATTCATTATTCAATGAATGAATAAGGTTTCAGTGAACATTTATGAATGTTTATTCAATGAATGAACAAATCTGAAGTCCAAAGGGAGATAATTTAGGATCCCCTTGGGTGTTTATGGAAGGAATCATATATGGCATGAATGACTGTTTATGGAAGACCTTAAAATAGGGAATTAAAAGGAAATTATCATAGAATAAATTATGTTTATAGGTTGCATTTTCATGTTGCAGCACTAACAAATTATAATCAAAATTACTTTTATTTAAAGCTCTGTTTGGGTAGCGAGACACTAAACCCCCTCCCTGGTCTGCTTGGGAGGATTTATCATTCTCTGTTTAAATGGGTTACGTTACAAGATGTTTTATATATTTGGGCATCTCCTGTGTAATGTAAAGAGTATTTTTATAATTACTGACGTACTAATTTGAAATAGTAATTGAAAATGCCTTAAGATACAAACCATGAAACAAGTACAAAAACTTTTAAATAAGCCTTAAATTGCTACTTTTTAAAAATTACGATGAGGAATCATGATCATGTTTCTTGCTAATTGTTTTAGCTTTTATTCAAAGTAGATGATGTACTGGATTTTGACCTCTAACAATTTGGGTTCAGACCAGCGTTTGAGTCATAAATTAAATGAGTTAAGTGGTCTCTTTCTTCTTCCCAGTGGATATTTTCCCGTGTTGCGGTTTCATCACAAATGACAGTTTTGGTTTAAATATTCCACTCTTAAAATAACAAGAATAATGCAGGTCACTGTTAAGTCATTGTTCCCAGTTGCCATATACTTAACTTGAACTGCTTTGCATGATGTGAAACTATCATGCTTTACAATATATAATGACTTAGAATCTAGGTATTTTCCATTTTAGAAATTCTGATATTTCACAGAATAAATTAAAAAAATAAAAATCAGGTATTAAAGCCAGGATAGTTTTATTTATTTTATTTTATTTATTTTATTTTTTTATTTATCGCCCATCCTTCAGCATGTTGCGCCAAACACAAAGCAGTAGAAGCCAGTTATTCCTTTTCTCCCCAGCTGAAGAGTTGTGGAAAGTCCGCACGGCGTTTTATAGCTCCAAAGCAGCCAAGAGAATGTGGGACTTTTTTATATTGTATTCAATTGATGCGCAAATTTTGATTTCACAATCAGCTCTATCTCTGTGATATTAATGGTCCTACTATTGTTCACCAAGACTTAATAGAAAATTTCCTGGGTTTTCAGCTAACACTGCTTTATTTTCTGTTTGTGCACAGTATGTGATGAAGGGCTGTGTCTTTTATTTCTCTGCTCTATGCAAGGTAAAAGGAGAAAGTAGCAGTGCTAAAGGTCTAGCGGAAGTCTGCCTAGGCCAAGAGTTCTAATGGGATTTAATTTAAAATCGGAGGGTCATGGTAGTGATTGTGAGGACTACAGTCCCCCTTTAAAAACTGTTCACTCAATATTATGATCTCTTATTACAGTTCTTTTTTAAGGCAATACTATAGTAATTTGCATGCTGCTTTTACTATATTTTGTACTGTAACTGATTTATACTGTTACTGTATTTTTATTCTCATAACAACACAGGGGTTATAATTCTGAATAGGGTTTCTGGTTGAGTAAAAATCAAATGGACCCCTTCACAGATAAAACAAGAACACTTGAACAAAGTCTGATCAGACAGGAAAACGATGAAAGAATCCTTGTTGCATTTCTTTTCAGATGATTTCTAGAAGGTGATCTTCTCTCTGTAGAGTGACTTTCCCTTCTAAAACGTGGCTTAGCCCACATTGTCCTGCTCTTCTCAGGCCTCCACTGCCAGCGCTTGTCCCTTCCTACCACAGGAGAGGATGTGAGGCCAGTTCTGTCCCAGGGAGTAACATTGTCCCGCCTTCATTTGCTGTTTCTCTCTGGTTAGTTTTTTAAGCATGTGGTTGGACTCTGAAATTTGCTAGGGAATCCTTTCAGTGGTGGGCCTTTTTGGCTTCTAAGGTGACTCTCCATGAGGAAACAAAAAGCAGTTTTCAGTCTTTTTATTCCCAACATGTTCAATCCCAGAATATTACATCCGCTTGATCTGCTGCTCGTGGGGCAGAAAAATCAAAGCAAATATGGCTAAATGCTTTAAATTTTTTCACTGGTGTGAAGCTCCTGCCACATTTCTTCCTGCATCAAGCATGTCATGTTCCCCTGTAATCATTGTGGTTATGAATGAGAAATGACAAAGGTCCCATCACACTAAAAAGCTCAATAAAAAAAAAAAAAAAAAAAAAAAAAAGACAGGTATATAAAATTTGACTAAACAGAATTTGGAGGGGTTTGTTTGTGTTTTATTTTATGAAAACATCCATCTCCAAAAAAACTTACCTAAGGAAATAAAAATGCTGAGTCACTGATAGGTGCCTCAAGGAATAGATTTCCGAGGAAAAGAAATTTATAATTTCAGAAATAAATGTCCTTCCTTTTCACTGCATTTAGTTGTTTGTACAACCTAAGTCTTAATTCAGAATATCAAAGTGTCATTATTTTTTTAAAGTTCCTAATAGTTCAGTTAACATTGCTTTGCACCCCTCTACCTTTTTTCTGTTTTCTTTCCATATGTTGCTGAAATTCTGTTTATAATCACAATGCAATAAGGAAAAAAAATCTTTAAATATTGACAGTTATTCTGAGAGAACTAATCAGTTTCACAGATTCAAAAGTATTTGGTGGTCTAAATAAGCATATGAATTTTGGTGGCTTTTGGATTTGCTTCCATGCTTTGTTCCAACAATCTAAGGAATATCCATGGCAGAACAAAGAAAAACCTCCAATTTCTCTGACTCTAGTGCACTCCTGTAGATATTTTATCATGTGAATACAAAGAATAATTTTCTTTCCCAAGATGCCAGTTCTCAAAAAACCTACAACACTATTTTTTAAATGTAAACAGGCAATTTGAAGAGGTAAAGCACAGGAGTGCAGCTAAAAATCTGATTAAGTAATCTGTCTTGCATTCTTTACCAACCTAATCCATTCTTGATATCCTGTCTTGATTCTTTGGTAATTAGCTAATTTTAGTTGGGTTTTACTGCTAATCACAAGTACATAGATTCATGTCCACAAATCTAAAGTTAGTTTTAAGTTCCATAAATAAATACCATACTAGCCAGTTACTGTAACACAAAATAATACTGATAAATTTAGATAACCATGGAATTCTATGCATTTGCAGCTGAACATTTAGAGTACCTACTATACTTGTGCATAATTTTGCAGTAACACATGGAGTGATGAAAAATTTGGTTCTAAAAGCATAAGACGCATTACTTTGAAATCCACTGTTTGAATTTAAACTTGTGTTTGAATTTAAAATATCAGTGGAAATCTGTTCATGGTGCTTTATAAAAGCTAATTACTTTCTGACCAAAATTGTAAGTTTGCGTTAGTTAATCTTTAATGAAATTTTATTTTAAAAATAAAAGCAGTATTGGACTGAGGATGTGGACTTAGTTTTCTTGAATCAAATCTATGTTTTTAAACTAAAACTCTTTAGTGCCAAACTGCAATGGGAGTAAGAATAAGGAACATTAAGGATAGATTTGGATTAAATTAGAAAGTTTATTTGTACTTCAGTGGTGTCTTAGCAACCTATAGAATTGTGATGTAGTGTTAGTTGCTCTCAAGAGACTGAAAGATAATGCTTGGAAATTCATGGCGTCAGTACAGCTACCAAAAAAAAAAAAAAATCAGTGGGGTGGCATCTTAAATGTATAGTTAATATGTTGTAATAGGTGCTAGTAAAAGGCTCCAGGCTGAGCTTATAATACTGGGGCATTCTTTTTAAATGATGACCGTAGAATGAGAATGGTGAAGGAAAGAAAGCTTAAAGGGATGGGGTTTAGGCATAGAAGTAGTTTGATGGTTGCGAGTCAGGTTCCAGATTCACTCTCAGCTCATTCTTACAGCTTTAATAATGTTAATATGCTCTGTTTAGCTACTTCAACAATTAAAGATATCTGGTATATTTTGGTTTTATTTCTGTAAATATGGTTCACATCTGTGGTTCAGTTGTTTCAGTTTGTAAATTGAAAGAGCAGTGTGATAAAATCATTGTTAGATTGCAGTCTTGTCTGCTATATTCTGCTTGGGAAAAAGTACATACACTAGCATTAGCAGTTAAAAGAAAACGATTACATTGGCTGTGTCAGAAAACCCCCATGGCACATGGTCATGTCTTACTGTAAAGCAATAAAATCCTGGAGGTGCTGAACTACCACTTTGTTATCTACCTTCTGCAGCTCAGAAAGTGAATCTGGCTCACAAAGTGCGTGCGATCAGCTTGTAACCCCGACAGCATTAGCAGCCTGTACCAGGGTTGACTCCTGTTTTACCCCTTGGTTTGTGCCGTCACTAAGTGTGTTGATCCAATTTACTTACTTGGAAGTCCACCTCTGCCATCATCTTGACCAACTAGGCACAGGTATGTATTCCTTTATGTAGAATAATAAAAGCATATGTAGTTCATACATGCTGTTTAATTGCTGTTGTGCTGTCTGTAGTCCCCATTTCCTCATTCAAACAGGCATTCCTGAAAAAAATGATCACCAACAGCCTCCAGTGGTACAGACTTAAGGGTAAAACTGATGATTTCTGTGCATTGAGAAAGTACATACGGTAGGCAGTGGGGCTGGCTGATCACCCCCCTTCCTCCCTCCAGAATGGGTAACTGTAGAAGCCATCCGGTTTTCGGAGTCTGATTAGTGACAGCAGGTGCCACTTCAGTTTTGAGCCATCTTAGTGAATGAATTTGATCTTTTAAATTTTCCAGCATATTAACAGTACTATTAAA